CCCCCCCACTCTAAAATGCTCTGACATGCCTTTAACTTCAGAGAGACCAGCTGTTAGGTGATGATCAAAACAGCAAAGAGAGATGAACCGAGAAAAGAAAACAACAGCACATAAATGCTTCGGGCATTTACTTTTAGTTACTATTCCAACCATTTCATATAATTTCTGTATAAAACACAGAGGTGAAGGTATCTTTAAAAGAACCACAGTAACAGGAACGTTAGCAAAGAATTATACAACTTTATGTGGTGCATTTAGGTGAAAAGAGCAGTTCTGCACAATGATTTCATCCTGATAGGCCAGTGGCCGTAGCCTCTACTGTGGCTGACAGGCTGCACATCCTTTTAGAAGCCATACAAGAGTTTGCTCTTTTCTTGATTAAATTGTCTGACGCTCATCCTTGGATATCGTTTTGAGATTGAAAGCATTCTAGATGATCTTGCATCCAGACAACATTTAGGCAGGCAAAAAACCTGAAGGGAGGAAAAGAAATCATTGTGCATTTCCAGGTTTTCCAGGTGTGCTTTCAATCACTTCCATTTCTCACTTCCTGCAAATCCTTTCCAGTTGTTTTCCGTCAGATTGATGGGGACACAGCTCAGCATCAACAAATGATTCCACAATAAGTCCTATGTCTACAGCTTATCTTATCAAAAAAGCATTTGTTTTGTTTCTCTCATCAAGCTAATAATTTCACATAAACACATACAAATAGCAACTGTTAATCTAAAATAAAAATAAAAACACTTAGAAAATTATGCAATAAAAGAAGATTCAGTGATATCTTTAAAACTTCTTACTTTTTTTGTTTTTTTCTCATTTTTATGACTTGGTTGCGACATCTTTCATGTGACAGAAGACACATGAAACCTGATGAGTTAGTTAGAATTTATCGATTCGAAAGTCAGCCGAGGATTTGCTCGTTTTTACACAGTTGCTAGGAAACTGGTCGCCCCTCCCCTGCGGGACCAACAGGCTGTGCAGACGTGAGAACAAAGGTGGCAACCTTTGCAAATGCATACGCCACACAGGCCAGCTGCCACTGGGGCACCACTGCACATAAATTCTCCCTCCCTCATTTCGAACGGGAGTCAAAACATTCGCAGGAACACAAAGCACTCTGTTGATCATTTGTGTCTCTGCTTGGCCTCACTGAAAAGTCTTCCTTTGTCTGCTTACCTTCGTAGCAGTCTCGGACTGTGTCAAAGTAGACGTAATACTCCTCATTGGTGAAGAAGAGAAGGCTGAGCCAGGAGTCGAAGGCGTAGATGGGGACTATGAAGAGGATCCTGACTATGTGCCGCTGCTCATTTGGAGAACTGTAGTAACGGAGGTGCATGTAGATCTAAAAGGAAGTGGAGAGGGGGGGGGGGGATAAACATCAGGTACTTCAACCTGTTTAAACCCTAGCAATGCAGGAGCTTTCGTAAGCAGGAAGCAGGATGATAGGATGTGACAAACAGGATCAGTGAAGGACACCCGATAATGGACAATCTAGAGCAAACGCGGAGCTTTGCACTGTTTTCACAAATGCTGCTTTTATTGTTTATAGTTTCACATAAACAATAGGGAAATTGAATGTGTTTGGATATCTTCAACCTTGTAGGAGCTTTCCAAAACATCTGCTCTGGATGACGCAAATCTAGGTTTCCATTCAGACAAACAAGCAAAACTTAAAAGATAAAACTATGTTTTTTCAAAAAGATTTGTCTGTCTCTGTGCAAGACCTGAACGGAGACTGTTCTTGAGAAGGATTACCTAATCATTTGATCAGCTTTGGTAAAATAACAGATTTGACTAAAAATGGATTAGAATTTTATTTAAAAAAACACACTGAAACAGGCTGACTGAAACTAAATGCTGCTTTGTGAAACTGGAATCTGTGCGGACAGGACACACGAACCAAAGTCAGATAGCCTACAGTGCACGCGCGTTTGTGTCTGTGTGTGTGTGTGTGTGTGTGTGTGTGTGTGTGTGTGTGTGTGTGTGTGTGTAGAGCGTGCGCTCCAACATGCAGGGTTTGTTTTAGGAAACTGATACCAAGCTTTTGTCAGTCCTATTCAGAGCAGCAGACGGTGGGAAGAGCAGGGTGGACCTTTGTCATCAGCACCTCTGTCTTTTTCATCCGGCACCTTTTCTACTTACACAATGTCCACACCTATCACCTTTCCAGGCCTGTAAACAGACACACACCTTAGGTAACGCAGCCGACAGTGGGCGACCACCCACTGAGTGAAGCAGGGTCTTCACAGGCATTGTTGCTAGGTGACCCTCACCCCTTAGTGCGTGTACGCACGCATACAAACGGACAGACGCCTCTCCTGCTCACTGATGACGTGGTAGGTGAGCCAAGAACACCTGTTGCCCCAGAGATGGAAGGCCATTCTTTGGCCTTCAATGTGAAGAGGATCGGCAAACAATGGAGGGAGAGTCATCAACCCTCCAGCTATAATAGACCTCCGGAACATGAAAGGAGGGACGCTAATTTAAAAAAAAAACCTGTCCGCAACAGGGGACTGGCGTACAAGAGAAACCAAAAAGTGCAGTTGATCCAACTGCTCCGAACAGCTCACCGAGACTTACGTTTTACACTAAAAGGTTCAAACATAAAACATCTGCGTTGAATGCAAGGTAGAAACAGAGGTGTAAGGCATTGCTCCTAACCCCCAACTAAGTTGCCCCATGCGTGGCAAATTTTATTAGCCCTAATCAAGCGCAGCTGCTACAGACTAGCGTGTGAAACTTAAGTTTTCGGGCTTCAGGCTGGTGGGTTTTTTGTAAACTGCAACCTCACCAATCCACATCCTGTTTACCTGCTGCTAAATATACACGCACAAAAAGGACAAATAAACCCCTAAAAGTTCTTCCTCCACTCCATTTCCACTTCTAATGAAAGATTTTATAGTTGTTTTTTGTAATTCACAAGAACAGAATTCATTTTAAAAATATATATATTTTTATATCCAAACAGTTTAGCAAATAAGATTTAAGTAAAGGGAAAAACAAAACAATACATAATTAAAGCCTGCTCCCAATGGTTAGTGTTACGGGTACATGCGTTTGGTGTGTGAACAAGCATATAAAGAGCCTTAAACAAAGGGCTCATGGAAAAACACTCTTGACTGTCACAGCGTCTATGGATGAAAATGTCTGTTGTTTTTCCCCTTCAACAGAACGAGAAAGCAGAGCCTGTTTAAATGTGTGATGTACGATTAGAGCTTTAAAGAGCTTTGGCTAACGGGAAATACAGCGACCATTTAGGAACACTTAGTATTTACCAACATGTATAATAGATGGGGCGGTTGATAGAATGTAAGCTGATTATTTTTTTAACTAATGGAAAAAAAGGCAGACAGTGCAATAACAAACATGACCAAGCGAAATTCTTTGTAAATTGATCTCTTTTTATCAATTTTCACTTGCTCAAAGCAGCATCTCCTACTCAAATATCATCTACGTACCTGGTGACATGTGATCAGAAGAGCTGTCCAGACGAAGAACCCTGATATCGTCTGCGCGGTGGAGGTCATGAGAAAAAACGGCTGCTCTGGCATGACCACGGGGGCCCCGGGTGGCCACGACGAGTTGGATCCCGGCGGGGCCACGGTGGCTGGGGAGCCTGGAGCAGGGCCGTTAGGAGAATCATTCCCCAACCTCTCAGACAGTCGCCTGTCTCGCCACAAAAGCTGACTCATCTGTAAGAAGGAAAGGGACACGCTGAAATAATACGTTTGAAGTTATTTTAAAGAAAACGATCCCAAAGGAAACGACGTGACAGCAATCAGCAGCATTTCATATCGCAGGCTCTAAAAGCCAGAATAAAAACAGACCCGCTCACCACCGTGACCTAAATCTCAAACTGCTGATGTTAGCATAAAAAAAAAGGGGGGGAAAAAGTAGGGCAGAGCACAGATATGAAATGCAATAAACATAGGGGGATGTAACGCGAGATGAGGAGCAGAGAGATGTGGCATGAGGTGGGTGGGTGGGGAGCCCTGTCACTTTGTGAGGTTTCAAAGAAGGCAGTAATGCACTTGTTCTGTGTAAAACCTAATTTCACAATGATTCCCAGCACTCCCTGTACACCGGCTAAATATAGGACGGTGAACATGGATGACTCATGATGCTTGCCAAAGATGATGATGATGATGATTATGCAGATCTGTGGAAATCAAATCAAATTGGGACAACGCAGAGATGTCATTAAAGCAGTTTTTTTAAATGACAAACGAATAGAATAGGGACAGATCTTTTTTTGATGACTGTAAAAAGATCAAATTTTTCAAAGAATAGCAAATTTGGTCGTAATCTCATTCAAAACAGAGGTCTGTGTTCACAACAACGCCAGCTTCCAGGGTCCCTGAGCAGGCCACGAACAGCTCATCGATCCTGCTGACGGCATCCTCTGGTAGGTTTCACAACAAGTGTCGCACTTTGAACTGGATCGAATCAGCTCTCATTGTGACGAGCTAGAAGTCATCAGGCAAGACAGCCTCGAAACAAACGGCGATGCAGCAGGCCCCACCGGAGGCGTTCATTCAGTCTCATATCGAACCGAAGGGTTTGTAGTCAAACCCCACAAAGAGCCACGTTTCAACTTTACACCGGACATCTGATAACAAAGTCATGCAAAATACTCGGAAAAACGTCAAGATCGAGAGGCAGTTCAGCTAAGGGGAATACAGATGTCAGCACTGTTAGATGTGATAAAGCAGAGCGACACAATAGTGGGATAAAGCAGCTGCTGGTGTTCTTACCTCTCCTCTGCAGTTGTTTGACGGACGCTGGTTCGAATCCGGGCTTCAACTCAGCTCATCGCCTCAAACGCAAACCTTTCGGAATGTACGTTACCGGGTTGAAAGCGAACATTTACTCGACTTTAAACCACATATATAAATCACAGCAATTCACTCCGAATCCCGGAAACGTGCACCCCCACCCCCTCCTCGCTCCGCTCTCCCGTATAAAAGCTGGGAGGTCTGGGCAGCCTTAACTGTTCCGAGTCCCGCCGCTAGCGCGGGTTAGCACGCCGCTGGAGGCAAACGGTTGGTTTCGCGTTGCCGGAAGACGCGTTTAGGGGCGTAAAACAAGCCAGTGCGTTTAATTACAGTGCCAAAAACCACATTGGAGAAATAACAGGCGTTATTTAGACACTAGCGACCGAACGCTGAAGGACCGCACCGCTTTTCATCCCTCACGTCGCCTGCGCTGTGTCAACAGCAGCAACTGCTGGACGCGCATGCGCAAAAAAGCGCCTTTGAGACGTTTCTTTTCCCACTGTACAGATTATTCCCAGGACCAAAACCTGGCCAATGGTCTTCCTTAAAAAGTCCACACGTCGACTCATCCTCGACAACAAGTCGACAAAACATGTCAGCAACGTTATTAATTTTTATTACTTCATAAAATATACACAAATACTGTAAATAAAATGTGTTAAAGAACTGTACAGGATATCAGTACACAATACACAAAGTGAACCCTCCCCCCTCCCATCCCCAACACTTCATCCTCTTTCTCATCCCCAAATCTGCAGTTACAATGCCACTGGGTCATGGTGTCCTGTACAAAGGTAAATTACACACATTACACTACACGCAGACACCAACAAAAAATCCCTGCAATTGCATCAGTTATGCTTTCTTCTGAATGACATCATCAGGGTTGTTTAAAAAAAAGGATAAAACAAAATTTAAAAAATGACAAACTACTAGCATATAGCTTCTGCAGAGGGAAAACAGAAACTTTATAGTACTGGATGAGGCGAAAGGGCAGACCCCGAGGAACAAGAGAGAAACAAAAAGTACCCATAAGTTACAAGAGTAGCCTGAATAAAAGCCTTGCATAAATAGAATAGAGATTTCTTTTAAAATGCATACACTGAGTGACTTTATTGTTAAAAGGGATTCTTCATGTCTCTTTCTTTCTCTCACACACGCGCACACACACACAGAAATTGTTTGATGACCCAGCTGGCACAGCAACAGTCACCCAACCCAAAGTTTAATACTTTAAATAACCCCAATTTTGAGTCTGAACCCTATTTAGTCGTTAGTATGCATTTTTCTACTTTACACCTTTACAACAAATAAACCACATTTTGGCTTTACATTGAAATTATACTTTTAAAAAAAATATTTACAATGAAGTAAACAAGAAAGAAGAAATTGTGAGGCCTCAACCCTCCCACCCCCCCAAAAATGTCATTCCTAACAGAGCTTGTCCCCTTCCCCAAAAAGCCTACAATAAAAAAAGAATATAAAAAAAAGTAACATCTAGAATTATCATAAAAATTGCAGCTTCTTTTTTTTTTTTGCCGAAGCGAGCTGCTATGGTCTCTGGTCAAATATCAGTATGTAGAGAAATTCCTGAGGAGCTTCCCTCAAGACTTGGGAGTGTGTCTTTCCATGTTCCATCATACTTAACCTTACCCTAACATTTGAAAAGAGAAATAAAAATAAAAAAGTCACTTAAGACAAAACAGGAAAAAGGGGGTGCAGATTTTCAGTTAATTGTTAAGTTTGGAGGGACAGTAGATTCCCACTACACGGGTGAAGGGCAAGCGTTCATCACTTCACCAGAAACATCACAGATAACAGCTAAAACATCACTTGCTTATACTTTTCAAAGTCACCTTTCCTGTCCTTTCTTATAGTCTTAGCTATATGTCCTCATCTGACCTGCATTTCTAATTATCTGGCATTTCTTTAAAAAAACAAGAACAAACCTCTTTGTGGAAAAAAAAGGAACATTTACTGAAAATGTACATTTGCTATTGAAACTAAGATTAATTGCCAAGCCTACATAAACCTTTGATTAAAAACATGCACGTCCCTGATGCCTTTTTTGCTCCTTTGATGTCAACAGTTTTTCACATTTGTCAGAGAATTTAGGGAATGCTGAGGAAAAAGGGAGGGCAGGAATGAGCAACTGTCAAAAATGCAGCATTGTCATTTGCGTTTGGTGTCGTGGTGGTGGAGATCCACGGTTCAGCCAAGGGTCCAAGTCACAATGCGCGTTGGATAACTCGTGTATTTCTCAGAATTTTTAACAGATTGACTGTCACGTTCGAAAGACTGACGAGTCCTTTAACAAATCAGTGTTGCGTTAAACAAGAAGGAAAAAAACAAAACAAAATAAAACCTTGGTGGCAAATATTCCTTGGAGCCCTGTAAAAAAAAATAAAAAGAAAACAGTTTTCCATTAGAGAAGGTTGGGATTAGACAATGATTAGTGGTGTGGAGGATAAAAATTAATAAAAAACTACACAAAATCTCACCTGTCTTTTGCCCTTGCATGCAGAGCCACGGATTTTCACTTTCCCATGTGCTCAAATGGCACGCTGACCTGTGAACGACAATGCATTTTCATGAGGAGAAGGCAGCTCCCTCTGGAACTGCTCAGGCTGCATGTTGGCACAGGTCACACTGCCGATAAATGCCACCTCACACAGATCTGTGCGTGCTAGCTGTGCCTCGGACACGCGTACAAATCAGCCCCGACAATAAAAACCACTGGCCCGCTACGCAAACGTCCCCATTTATATTGTTCCGCTGGGAGGACCTGCGTCCCGGCAAACGTGCATGCCAGTTGGACACGTGCCACCAAGCCTAAAAACGCCACTCCGCACCGCGAGAGGGGCAGATTGGACATTAGATGTGGTCATCGTGTTATGACTGATTTGCATAAATCTAAACAGTGCAAAGAGTCACCTGACAGCTGTGCAAACCAATTCCGAGGGACAAACTTTAGTTTCTCAAGAGCACAGGTGCGTTTCTACCGAGTTACCTAAATCTATCATTAAAGGTATGCCGAGCTGGCAGACAGCAATGGCCTCACAGAAATGCACACTGTAGAACCCCCAAGCAGCTGAGAAACTTCTGGTTTAATGTCGTTAGTCTGAGCTGCTTCTTATTTAACCCCCAAGCTGTACGAATTTTCAAATTTACTCTGGGCTGAAAACAATGGGAAATGAATAAATGGTTTCTGGCCCTCTTACAGGTGCTCTGCCAAACCCCAGGAGCTGCTGTGGACGTTTTCTCACCTGCGATGTGGAAATTCTCGACTGGTCGTGACGGGCTGTGAGGTCGGAGGAGGACACGTTGGCAGGAGCTCCGCGGTGTAACCGCATGCTCACCTTCCTCTCCCGCTCTGCGCGAGAAATTGCACGAGGTGACGTGTTACCTAAGTGAAGAATAAAATAAAACTATTCATCCAAACAAAAAAAAGTTATATAAAAAAAAAATAAAATAATAAAATATGGAGTCCACACGCTATCGGTCGGTTGTAAATATTTGCTGGTTTGAACCAGAAGCTCACCAGACTGCTGGACCCGCGAGGCGGGGTTGGACATGGCTTGCTCCGGCCCATTCCTGACCCTGTTGGGGGCTCCGGGGGTGGGGCCTGGAGGAAGGCCTCGTGATGCCGACCCTCTGGGGGCTCCCCCGATGCGCTCATCTCGCTCGTCTCCCGTCCTCCTTTCCCGGTCCCCATCCTCGGCTGTACGACTGGCTCCCTGATAAACAGAATAAACCACATTCTGGATCTCCACTTGACAAACGCGGCTTCAAATTAGCGCTGGTGGAAAGGCAGCCAACATGAAGCGAGACCTCCGAGTGCCATTCAAAGCTAGTGGGAGCCACGCCCCAAAAGCAGTACTTACAAATTTGAGCATGTTCCAGTCAAAGACATAATCGTAGGAGAACCCCTGTCGGTGGAACAGATTTCTGAAGAGCTGGCGTAGGTAGGAGTAGTCGGGCTTGTCATCAAAGCGGAGCGAGCGGCAAAAGTTCAGGTATGTGGAGAACTCGGCTGTGGGAGAATAAACAACAAGGAAAGCAGCGGTGAAGAAGCATAACAGATAAGACAGGATTGCAAGCATTGTGGAAAAAAAAAAAAAATACAGCATTCAAAAGGAGGTTGAAGGTCAAAATGTAAAAAGGGAAAAAAAGCATCACTCACAGGGGTATCCTTTACAGAGAACTTCAATGGGTGTGGACATCTTCTTCTCACTGATGCGCTCATACTTCTGTCTCTTGGTTGCGGCCTTGAGCCCCTGCCAGGGGAGGGACCCCAAGTTGAAGTACATGAGGACATAGCCCAGGGACTCCAGGTCGTCGCGCCTTGACTGCTCTGTGAAAGCGAAGCCCAGAATGTGTGAGAGTGAGACACCAGAGTCCCAAAATGACAGCCAAAATATAACAGAAAAGCCCAATTTAGAGTAAAAAAAAAAAAAAAAAAAAAAAAACTTCTTTAGTAGGTTGTCAAAGTTTAAACACATTTTCTGTTAGACAAACAGCTCCCAGCGGGGCAATAAAAGTCAACCTAGGTGGTTGAACATGAGGAAAAATGATGTATAGAGCAAGGCAGTTGGCTCAGCCCTCATTTATATGCACTAACAACACTTCATTCCCACTGAACTTTACACAGATCAAAAAATAAATAAAGACAAACTCTTCATAAATTCCCAATTTGACAGAACATCTGAATCTGAAACATCCTACAAAAAATAAGTTTTTTAAAAAAGTGTTAATTCGGCTTTTCATGGACCCTCTATGTGGAGCGTACCAATTCCAAGATGCGTGTTGATGGAGGCGTAGCGTGCCGTTCCGGTCAGGTTCTTGTTCTCCCTGTAAGGGATGTGCTGGTGTGTGCGGGCGTCGCGGTACTTTTTGGCCAGGCCAAAGTCGATTATGTACACCAGGTTGCCCTTCTTGCCGAGCCCCATGAGGAAGTTGTCGGGCTTCACATCGCGATGGATGAAATTCTTGGAGTGGATGTATTCGATGCGGCTGATCTGTTCAGTACAAAAGATGCAGCGGTCAGGTTCCTCCAGGACTAAACCGAATACAGCGAGATGTCGTTTCCTTTGACACTTATCAAATTTATACTCCTCATATGAATCTGCCAACCTCAGGATGCACCAAATATGTGAGTTGGGTGAAGTAGGACCCAAGTGGACAGAAGGTTGGAGGTGGTCAACAAGGCATATTGGGGGTCAAAGCACAGGAAGGCCATGCCCAAGACTATAAGCATAGGGTCTAACTAAAACACCAAAAAGGTAAAGACGAGTTGAGAAGCTCCTCTTTGAAATATCTAGGACAGCTTGATCCAAGGCTAAGTGACCACCACAAAGCACTGCCGATGAATAAAAGTATCAAAACATCCATAATCTTTTAAGAGCATACAATGAATTATATGCTACTGTCATTCTGAATGGAGCTGGAGCCCAAAAGAGAACCACGAATGGTGACCTACTTTAGCCGGATCATGGCCAACATTTTTTTCCTGCACTTTGCTTACTAGCCCACTGTTTGGCTTAGCGTTATCTTTGCCGAGGGGACAGCCAGCATCCCAAAAGGTTCCTGGCTTTGAGACGGGTTTGGGTCGTACCATCTGGTCTGCCAAAAGCAGCACGGTCTTTAGGCTGAACTTTCGGGAGCAGAAGTTGAAGAGGTCCTCCAGGCTGGGACCAAGCAGCTCCATCACCATGACGTTGTAGTCTCCCTCTGCACCACACCACTTTATCGATGGAATGCCCACTAAGGAAGACACACGGTCAGCACAAGGCCTGAAAAGTCTTGACCAGCGTGTTGCATCTGCATTAGCTTACCTCCTCCCTGCATCATCTTGTAGAACTTGCTTTCAATGTGCAGCTGCGGGTGTTTGGTTTTCACGCATTCCAGCTTGATGGCTACCTCCTCACCGGTGGCGATGTTGGCACCTGAGGACATGCATTAAAAGACTTAAAACAAAAACACAGGCCGATAAATGTGTACATAGCCAAAGCCTTAAAGGCGCACAATGGCCGCGCCGACCGGCTGTCAAGCACATGCACAGCATTCGTTAAGCTCTGTGCAAAGTAAGGTAAAGAATGAAAAACCCTTTAGAAAAATGAATGCTTCCACTCACCAAGGTAAATGTCTCCAAAGGAACCACTCCCTATTTTTCGCCCGAGCCGGTATTTGTTCCCCACTCTGAGCTCCATGGTTACAAGGTATCGCTGTAAACAGATAATGGAAACGGTGTTAAAACATTGCTTTAAAAAATTAAAGAATTAAAAATCAGGATAAATTCCTGCTTAAATCATAAACATGGCGTGTTTTTTTTCTTTCCTGCTTTCCCAGGAAACCGAAACAGGGACAGCATACTGCGAGTCTGCCAGCTGCTCACATGATACGCATCAATCCCGGCCACAGTGAGCTCATGTTTTTGTGCGGATGCGGTCTGAGCTGGACTACTTGATCGGCCAACAGCTGTCCGGTTTTAAGAAACACGAGATAAGATTTGTAGGGTGGCTCTGGGCGGGAGCCGCTCCGAACCCAGCGGCGCGGGAGAAGAGGTCAGCAACAAAACAGAGAAATTAGGGCAACGCATGAACGCCCGTTCCCACTTCTGACGGGAGGCCAGCGCTGCACAAGAGCGCAGGGCCTGGCACACACGAGGAAACGAGGCGCAATTCTTTTTTTCTTTTTTTGAGCCGGGCCGCACGTGATGCCGGAGTGGGATCATCACTTATTTAGCACTCGCTGCCACGCCACACTGAGCAGCCACCGGAAAAGCTGGGCTAAGCTCTGTGCGGCCGGCGCTGGCCCGGCGGGGTGAGGCCGGCCTCTCCCCCGCCAGGGCCCGCCGACAGCTCTGTGGAGTGAACTTTGGAGGGCCACGTGCTGCAGAGAACGCAACACAGCGGAGGGTAGCGCTTATTAGACATCCGCGACCTCAACACTCATTTTGGGAATGCTGTGTCGGCAAAAACGCGGCTTTTTCAGAAACAATGAGCCCTTGTCCATAGGCAGCAGGGATTAATCTGCAAGCAACACTCCCAGTCAGACTGAGCTTCAAAAGAGGTTAGATCCAAGGCAAAACCGTACTGGACAAATACTGCGTACTCTACCAATTACTGAGGCCGTAAACCATATCTCTTGGAAAATAGTTTGTAACAGGCGTGCCAGCCAACTCAAACAGACAAAACACAAACTGTGCAGGACTAACACTTTCACCAGGAATCTACACGGACTCAAATGATCCTGATACCATTCGATCATAAGCACTGGGATCAAAAGAACCTGGTTGCACAGCTAAAGGATGCAATCTCAAGCAGAGTAGTCTTTCTTTAAGGACACACACACAAACGCAAATAAAACAATCCCAAAACCTCCTGGTGAACTCAACCTGACGAGGGCAGCTCGTCATAGAAGATGCGACGGTGGCAGATGGATCTGGGTTTATAAAGGGTTAGGATTCATTACACCAGGAGGGCAACTCAAGTGCTGAGGCCAAAGACCAGATTTAGGTTCCATTAATCACAAGGCTGCACCCTAAGTGCTATTGACGGATTGCTTAGCACAGGAACACTGACAAAATACTTAAGGGGTGTTACACAGCATGCTTAAAACCAGGCATTTCTTCTGGATAAACTCCGAAGGGGAAGAACTCGAGGCACGGCAAAGATCTGCTCAGTGCAAACCCGCACAGCATCGTGACAAATCCCTCATCTGAGCCTTCAAAGACAGCCTGTGTAATGTGAGGCAGGGGGAATTAGCCTGTCACACTGCTCTGGGAAAACAACATGTGCTATTACGGTAGTAATCGTCTGCAGGAGCGTGGATTGGTCAAGATGGTCCACTACACATCTGCTAGCTAGAGGGGAGTCTTCCCAGGAGTTGTGGAGACATGGTGTCCCAGAGAGGACAGCTCCAAAGCTCCCAGGCATCATAGAAATAACAACCACAAGTGTCCAACTATTCGGAGTTCCCCAGACATGCGTCAGTCAAAGCACATTCTGTGCGTTAGTAGGTTGCACAGAGGATTTATCTCTACGCAAAACACTCATCAATACCGAGGAGATAGAGCCCAAATATTTCGCAATCGCATTGCAAACGCGACACCACTTTAAAAGGTTTCTCTACGTAAACAACTGATCACAGGGTCGATTGAAATACAGAAATAAGCAAAATAAACAAAACAAACAAGCATTATGACCATGCATTTAGTTCATTTTGTGCTTTCAGGAGGATAGCTGGTAGGATGCTACGTTCATTTCCTGCCAGAGCATCGGGACCCAATTGTGGCACTATTTCCTGCTAAATGTCAGGACACCTGCAAACAGTCGAGTTTTTTTTAAAAAGCCTTTGAACTGTTTACAGGCGTTTAAACGAACACAAATTTAACAGTTAACACACGGAGGGACGAACGCAAGTTAACCGTTAGCTGCGACGAGAGAGAGCTAGGAGAAATACGGTAACCAAGCCGTCCTATGTAGGCTCAGTGTCACGGTTTCACAATATTAAAGAAAGACTAAAAATTGGTGTATCTCGACTTGGAACATGTTTGTGTCCCATTTCCAACCGCACCCTTACCCGTTAAGCTAGCCTGTGTGCGGACAGCCATTCCAACTACTCGCCCCCTCCCCCTCTCTCCCGTAAGCCGTGAATAGGAGACTCCGCTTCGGTCGAACCGGGCCCCTTTTCCCCCTCGGTTTCTCCGGTTCTCCGACGCCGCACTCACCCGATATCAGGTTCGTCCGACAGCTGGTGAAGTGGAGGTTCTGATCCGCGGGTTGTCAGTCGGACAAAGAGCCGACCAGGAGAGGATGGGAGCGGATTCTGGCAGCTCTCATACCCCCAGCTCAGTCGTCGGTCGCGCTCCCTGTTGATAGTCTCTGAGCAGCTCCTATTGCACAGACGGCCGTTCTCTACTCGACTCTGCCCCCCCCCCCCCCCCTCCTCGTTACTTAACAACGTGCGTGCTCGAGACGTCGATGATGTCATTCGCCGTGTGTCAGGGCGTCGTGATTAAACCCGGGGACGTCACGCCTAATCGCTCCGTCCTGCCTTATTTCACCCATTCATTAATTTCCCATCAACCCCCGTGTCTAATTGGAGTACAAATGTCAGTATGTGCCACGATACTGTCTGTATTTTTCTGCTAGTCAGCCTGTTTTTAAAACACTTTTACATGAGAATAATTAATGCAGTGCATCACTTATGGGCGTAAGTGTTAAATTGAACGAGTTTTACCCCCATTAAACTGGTAAAACTGTTCTAAAAGCTGCGTTTTAATATTTTTTCGTAATGGAAGTAAACGCCACACAAAGTTTTATTCCACACGCAATGTCATGTTGAGTTCTGCCACTGGTTGTGGATGTCATTCAGTGGGAAATTCACAGCTTTTTCTACATATTTCAGGAAAATTATTACAAAGAGGAAAAACAGCATGAAAATACAAACGCCAGTTTAGAAGCCAATACTTTCATCTTTATTAATCTTGTTCTCCTTGTTTAAATAAATTTTCCTTTGTAAAATCTCAAAACGAAAACACTGAACAGGAGTGTTAAAGCCTGTCTTAATTTAAAACGAATACACAACAACAGAGAATTAAAAACGCACGGTAACTTACTCTTTATCTGTAAACAACCCCTCCCCCCCCCCCCCCCCCCCCCCACTCCACACAGTTTGATAAGATTTGGCATGTCCATTTTCTAAACGCGTATGCCTTCAGCTCTTTGTCATTAAAATGTTTTTTTTTTTATTATTGCAGGTCAAACAATTAAAAAAAGACAAGACTGCTAAAAAAAAAATCTAATGAGAGAAAAAAGGATTAGTGCCAATATTTCTGAACACAATCAGCGGAATACCGAATGCACTCAAAACATTTTTTGTATAGACCTTCTGTAAAGTAAGCAGCCTTGCCCACATTATGACAGGCATTAACATGCACACACATTATCCTCACATTCATACGCACGCACAACAACTGCGGTGGTTTAATCCACTTACTTGGTCTCAGTCTCACTCATACTCATAAGCACGTACAATACTGCACACAGTATCGACACGTGGAGAAATGCATCATGGCCTAAATCTGCCAGCAATATAACATTTACCACTGCAACATTAACAAACATGTTCAAGAGAGGATAACAAGAGAAAGAGTGCGTGAGATACAACAGTAGGAGGTCAGCATTTCGAAAACAGAACAATGACATTTTTCAATATTTTCACTGTTCAAAAAAATCAAAACCATACAAACAAACAAAAAAAAAAAAACCTTAACATACACAGTAAGATACAGTTCTGTTGTCAATCAGAGCTGTTTGCATGTGTTTGGATTCGATCTCCGTCTTTAAGGGGATGTGAATACAAACTGCACTTTTAACCTCACATCATGTAGTAGTTTTAAGTCTTTATACGATGAACGTAACGTCTGTTTACAGTGCCTGTCTGTCTGAAGGCTTCTCTGTATTTGGTGTGTGCATGTTATATGTAAATCTGTTGAAAAGTCCCCTCGTTACTAAGCACATTGCAATCCAGTCAAGTCTTTCAGACTAACTGACTTTTCATTCTTTTTCAGGTTTCAAGTCAAAGCAGTTGAAATCTTCATCTGTGGAAAAAGGCTGTATACACATCTAACAGTCCCTGCATTTGTTTTTTTAATAATAGCTTAAGTCTGGCCATGAGAATGTGTGTAAGCATGTATCACATTTCTGCTTTATGTGTGCACATTTATATGCATACCTTGTATATGTATGCACATACATGTGTATAATACATTAATATGCATACCATGTAAATGTATGTGTGTGTGCCATAGTAAGAATATATGTATCCCAGTGTATGCTGTATCAGTGTGTCCAAACTAACTCAAACGTTTTGAGGGGGGTCATCAGATGGAATCGGCTCCTCTTCCCAGCAGGTCGCCAGGCAGCAGTCCGGCAGGGCTGTCCAGCTGGTGCCTCTCCTCCATCTGTGGAGCCCCCCACAGGCTACTGCTTGTGTATCCTGCAGTCATGCCACCCCACAGCCCAGACCTCGCAGTCTCTACCCCCCCAACACCTCCTCCCTCCCCTGCCCCGTTGGTGCTCCACTGGGAAAAAATCCCCAGCCCGGGTCCTTGGGCTGAGGAGGCTTCTGAAGAAGTGCCTGTACCGTCGAGACTCTGCCAGCCAGAGCCAGAGGACCGTACGCCGGGTAGAGCCGCCGCGCCGCTCTCCCCTCCTCCACCGTTTCCATTTCCACCTGAAGGCGCGCCCACTACTGCCCGATCACTCCCCGGGGAGCTCCCCCCACTGCCGGCCACAGCTGCGCCTGGTCCAGAGGAACCGGGCGCAGCGCTGCCCGCTGCTCCCCCCGAGCTGGCCCCGTCTGCCCCTCCAGCCTGGGAATGTGCAAAATAGCGCGCAACTTCTTCTTCACTCACAAACTCCGCCAGGATGGTGGTGTTACCCAGAACACACCTGAGAAGAAGCAAGGCAAAAAAAAAAAAAGAGGGCTTTTTAGATCAAGAAGAGAATGTTTGTTGTTTGACATTTGTGTAAGACTGAATGTAATCATAAACCCACATATGCAGTGCGCCCTGGGCCTTGGCTGCTTCCTGCCGGCTGCTGTAACGAATGAGAGCACTGCCCTGGGTAAGGCCCAGGTGGAAGGTGAGCAGGGGGCCATGCTGCATACAGATAGTCCTCAGTGTAGAGCCATCAATCTACGGGGGAGAAAAATCATTTTTTTAAAAGTACTTTTCAGTCGGAAAGATTTCCCGTGTGAATATGATAAGCATGACTCTCCACTACACAACATTAAGGAGCTGACAAATGTCAAGAAACCACAAAGTTACACAACTAGGATTATGTATATGAAAACCAATGCGTTAATAATGCAGAGAGTACTTTGTGGCTTGATCGATTAGCAGTTGTGTAACAGTGACAGTAAGAAAAGTTGCACAAGCCTGAGCATGTGAACACAGAGGGTGGTGGAATGTGCAAAAATGTACTTGAATTCTAAACATTTAATTTCTAAGCTTTTCCCCAGAGCCTCTGTATTAAAAACGATGACCAGTTTCACATCTGTCATAAAATCTGTTGAACTAAGGAGGTTTGTAGGGCTTGGGACAATTTGTAAATCTTAGGAAAAAATATATAGTATGGCATAAATATAATCTTTTGATATTCAAATGGTAGAGCTGGAAAATTACAAACAGTATGTAAACGACCCAGAACTGAACTTCACATATTAGCTGCTGTGTTACATCCACAACTAAACTAAAACCATACCAGCCTCTTAAATTACACAATGCTTCAATTCAGCAAATGGGGGAAACTTTAACTTTTCAGCAGTCCCTACATTTTTCAAAACAGGTCACTTTGTATTTCCCGGACCCAAAACTTCTTTAATTGGCAATTCATGAAGTATAATGCAACTTTGAATGCCAAATTCCTTGCAGAGGATTCATTTGGGTCTTACATGTACAAATGTCATGAAATACTTGGTTAAAGGTCTTTTCAGGCTTTTCTTGTCTTGTCTTACCTGAGGAGTCAGGTTGCTCAGCAGCAACCAGCAGCTTCCTCTGGAGGCTGCGCCGTCACTCCACGTTGAGCCTGTAAAAATACAGAAAGGAGTAAGACAAAACAAACGACAAGATAAAATAACATCCCAGAGAATTGCTTTATTTTAATAGAGGTGAAATTTTTAATGCTGTGACATGATTCTTTATTCGGACGTCTGTCTACGAAATACAGAAACAGTTCTTTTATACCCTAAAAGAGCCTCCTTTGTGGTGAAGTCATACTCTAACAACATGGTTATGATGCATAGTCACTGTGAAAAGTACCTGGCCCAAATCTTGAGTCTTGATTAATTCCACCCCCTCCCCAATTCCGGGCCAACCGTGGACCTCCAGAGCCCCATGGGGAGGGCGAGGCCTGTTTTTGACTGGTTAGGCCAGGAGGGGGGCGTGGCAGCTGTGAGCTGTTGCGATTGGTCCTCCATAACTTGTTTTGTCCGATGGGCTCTGGAGGCCAGCTGGGCTTGTACTCGGAGTACTTTCCTGAGAGGGATAAGGGAGGAGAGAAAGAGAACGGCCAAAGCACATTTAGAAAAACAAACCACAGAGAAAACAGTGGTACAGTTAACTCGTGGAAAATCTCTGCAGGCTGAGCAACTAATGAGACAGGGGACAGACTCAGAATATTAGATGAGAGGAATCCAAAAGTCAAGATGCAAAAAGGAAGTCAACGGAAAACATACCTGTGCTGTGTGCGTTGCTGAGGGAGCTGTCTGAGGCACTGTAGGGCCAGGCACCAGGTGAAGGCAGCGAGGTGTTGAGGGAGGGGTTTGGCCCTGCAAAACAACAACACCATCTGAATGCAACACACGCTCTGAGCAACGCTGCTGATCAAGCCCGTTTAGAAAAGTGCCGACTGAGGATGTTTTCCAAAGAAAAGGCAGTGGAAAATGTTTGTCAAAAGATCATAGCCAGTAAAAAACAAATGGCTGTACTGCATTTGGTAGATCAATCACTTTAGGAAGAGTTTCTGCTACAGCTGGGAGCAGTGACAGCACTGGACTGTCCTCCAAGTTTCGTTTTAACTGAACCCAGCTAAGAACAGGCCAGCTGAGTGGGTTTCAGCCTATATCCAGTAGGTTTGTGCGTGTTTCAGCTGTATGTGTGCACAGCAGCCACACAGTATTTGTGAGCCGTCTACCCTTCTTGAGTAAAAAATGTCATCTCTCAGTCAGTTTGTTCAATAACTGTTGTTATTAAGGAATTGTTAACTCTAAATCAAATGCTTTTAGGCTAGCTATGTCCAATAAAAGAAGCTAAAATTATGACTAATAATAATGTTGTAGTTTAGTCAAAGGCAAACACTACCCTCCTCCCTCTGACATACCTCTGGTTTATTAGGATGTCTGAAAGAAACCAAACCCCTCAGAGTAAAGCCACCACCACTGGGATTGTGTTAGGGCTCAAATATATTCCTTATGCTGGGACTTTAGTTGCTGCAGTTAAATCACACCTTTTCAGACATCTCAGTAAAGAATAGACTCATCTCTAAACCCTAATTCTACCAGAGACAAGCTGCAGCTTCAACTTGGAGCTTTGCTAAAAGTACTCTATTAGCATTTGCTCTTTAAGCTACTTCAGGGGTAATATTCAATTAACAGACTTCCATTCTGTGGTTTCCTTCACTTCTTTCATGTCAAAGTGCCATTAACAGTATTAGTCTGAAAGATATATCTATTTTTTAAAGTCACTTACCTATGTTGTCTCGGAGTAACTGGTGGTCAGGGTCATTGAGATTGGGGGATCCTGGAGAGCCAAGGACACTCCCAGGGGTCATGTAGGGATCAGATTCTGGGTCTCCACTACTCTGTATTCCTTTCCAGGGTACACCAGGCTGGAACTCTGACATAAGACAACAGAAACCACACTTATCAACTAGAGTGATCATTTACATCACAATGTAAAACTCATTACTGTTGGATATTCTAATTAGGCAGTTTTATTCTTATCTTAGATAGCAAATGCTTGCATTGTCTGACCCCAGCTTTACATTTTTTTTAAATTGATTTATTTTGAAATAGTAGTTTAAACCTTGGTTATAAACTACAATGTTCTCCTCTAGTTCCTGTTCATCCTGATTTACAAGAAGTTTCAAAGAATATTCACCTGGAGGCCAACTTGACGTAGCCGGTTTGTTCCCCATTTTGCTCCCAGGAGTCCTGTGCCAGTTGTCTGCTGAGCTCTGTGGTGGCATCCCTAAGCCTTCACTGCCCAGCATCTCATACTGAGAGTAAGGGGACCCTCCTCTTACCTTTATCGCACTGGGTAAAGGCCCTTTGGGACAGATGACAAGAGAGAAACAAACAGATTGACATGAATACGTTTCAAATCACATATTCACAGCGGCCTTGGAGGTGTGCTTTCCTTAAGTGCAGATTTTCTATTTCAAATTAACCATTTAAAATCCTCCATCAAACCATCTGTCAACATACCATTCTTGTGAAGGGCTGTGTCTGGGGGGGAGGGAGTTGGGGAATTACCCTCCATCATCCATTTAAAGCGGGACTGCTGTCCACCTATATCCTTCATTCCCCCCATCATGGGACCGAGCTCCAGTGCCGACACGTTACCACCAGATGTTAGCCCTAGCAAGAAAATCACAACACAGACTCTTTAGTACTCTTCTACTACTCAGTTACAACTGTCCACTGTGCGAGCTGGGTGCAGTGTCATTTCTTATCACATACCAGCATACATCCCTTGCGTTTTGGCATGGAGATCTGACAAGGGACCCCCTAATCCAGGGTGTTGAAAAGGGTCTACCATAGCTTGTTTGGACAGGCCGCCTCCTAGGTGAGATGGTGACAATTTGGAGCTCCCCCCAGTGGTTGTGGCTCCTCCAACCCCACCTTGCTGATGCTGCCTCCGCTGCTGCAGAACAGCCATGATCCTTGCCAACTGAAAAGATCGAAATTGATGAGCCCTCCTGCTTATGTCCTGAAACCTTTATCTGTAGTGTGGGAAAGGCAACAGGGCTCCTCCACATAAATGTCTTTTTGAACCCATTTCTTTCATCTGCTCACCTGCTGTGGATCTGGCTGCTGCCTCAGAGGCTGAGGTTGAGGGAACTTCCTCTGGTTCTGCAGCAGCTGCTGCTGCTGCTGCTGTTGCTGCTGCTGTAGGAGGAGCTGACAGGCCTGTTGGTTGGTGGACAGAAGTGGTCAGACTGGCTTTAAAAGACCTTCAAAAGCCATTCAAATGTGAAGGGCCACGCTTACAGCAGTTCATACTGCATTTAAAAGCATTTAATGTGATGACTCAGAGAAACGTTTTAGCATGTACCAGATGGAACTGCTGCATGTGGGGGTAAATGTTGCTGAGCATTGCTAGCTGCTGCGGAGATATTTGATGAGGGAACACTCCTCCACCAACACCACCAACCCCTCCAACAGTTCCGACGCCACCAACACCTCCTACTCCTCCAACACCTCCTACTCCTCCAACTACTCCACCCACACCGCCACCAGGAGACGGCATCTGCTTCAGCATGGGGCCCGGCACCTGCAGGTCACAAGGTTTGTTAGGTACACAGGTGTCAATAACACAAAATATGAGAAACCAGGAACACGCATTCTATACAACAGAGAGACATTCTCTTAAGAGCCTTTTAAAGGTTATGAGCATAAACCAGGAATAAAACATACAAAGCTCCAACAGTTACTTGTTAAATCTGTAAGCAAAGTCAAAATTAGAAGGATAAAAGGGACTGCCAATATCTTTTGAAAACAACTTAATTATAATCGATAAGATGAGACAGTGGAGACAACAGACCTGAGCAGACAGGAACTGATGAGGCACTTGAGCACGTAACCCTTGGGAGTGGTTCATGGGATGCATGCCAGGCTGCTGCATCCCTCGAGGCTGAGGCATCCCTCCTCCACCTGCAACAAACACCCCGTGGCCACCCACCTAGAGCACAAACGAAACAAAGTACATCACTCAATAATGATTCAATAATTTTTTATCTTCTAAAATAAGCACAGTCACCATTTATTTAGAACAGATTTCAGATTAAGACTTTTCAAAGGGTTAATTTTGAGTGGTTAGTATTGGAAATGAAAATGTTATGATTTATAAAAAACAAAAAAACACTGATGAGTTTTGTACCTTATCACCATATGGCCCCATGTCAACAGGACCCATGTCTTTGGAACTAGGCATGCGGTACCCTGTGCCACCTCTTCCTCCCCTCCGCATCTCCCCATTAAAGTCATTCAGTCCTCTTTTGTCTCCATCCATCTTTTTGTCAACAGTTGGATCATCACCCTGAGAAATAAAACATTTCTTATTAGAGTGAAATATCTAAAGGACAGCAGAGTGAGCATTTATTCCACATAACAAAAATAATCAAAATCTTTAGAGTAAGATTTAAGACTGTTAACAGATAAGTTCCCAAATGAATATCTTACCAGAAGACCCATGTTTGAAAACTGCCGGGACACAGGATTCATCCAGCTGTCTCCTGCTCCACTCTTTAGAAAACAAAATGCAAGACTATTTTAAAAACAGAAGAGACTAAAAAGTGCCATAGATGGTTTTTTAAAAATCAAATTAAATCGAGGGGTGTCTTGTGTTACTAAAATGCGGATGAGTGAGCTTGTCCGTGCATCTTTAATAGTCCCTTTCCCACCTTTATGTTGCCTCTTTTTCCTCCATGAGACTGGACCCAGCCACCAGAGTTGAAAGAAGAGCTGCTTCCCTGGGAGCCTGTGCTGTTCCACACCCCTCCACCACCATCATCTTCATCTTCCCAGCTGGGGTGCCTAGATGCTGCGATGGAGCCATCTCCCTTCCCACCCCAGCTTTCCACTGGCTTGGAGCCTGCAGGAAGAAGAAAGCAGGTCCATTACTTAGGGGTTATGGTTCCACAGATTTAGAATGACATAAGAGTAATTTATGTTACAATTTTATTATCCAGTGCAGCATGTGTCAAAACATGGTAATCTCAGAGTTTGCTTAAAGAAAGACTGATTATTTGCCAGTCTTACCAGGTTTGCTGAGGCTGGGAGAAGGGTTCCTCCAACCTGATGGTTTGCTGGGCTCATCTGGTTCCCCCCAACCTGCAGCTGCATCAGATGTCTGGCCCCAAGCTGCTGTACCATTATCCACAGTCTGCGCGCCTCCACCCCACATTCCTGGTGAGGACATTTAAAGGAAGTAAACAAGAGGCTTTTAGCACAAGATTCTAAACAGTGATGTATAATCTACTTTGATTGTTGTACGTTTGGGTAAATAGTGCAACTTCTTACCCACTGATCCATTTCCGGGGTTTGTGTTGGTGCTGTGCTGCATTCCCTGCTGCCTTCTGGGAGCTTGTTGCTGTATGGGTTCTGGTGCGGGCTGCTGACTGTGGCTTTGGCTTGGTGTGGCACTGTTCTTGTCCCACAGGTTCACATTCTTGGTGTTGTAGCAAGTTGGGTCTCCCCACGCTGATGTGCCGTCGTCAATTTCCATTTTGCGACTGATGGACTGCGGGGAAGGCTCTTCCCATCCACTGGGCTCCATGGATTCCCCCCCGCCTCCGGGGATTTGGGGGATTGGACCTGAGGTCCAGCCTGAACTTTGGTTCTGATTCTTGGAGGGTGCACCTCCACCTCCAACGCCTGGCCGACTGTTCCACCCTCCTTGCATGGGCCCTCCTGGTGGCTGCTGGCCCTGGGATTGTTGCTGCTGATGATTTGGGGCTTTCATTGCCACTTGGCTGTTTGGTATCTGTGCTGCTGTTGTATGGGACTTGGCACTCCCCCAGTCCTGGAGAGCTTTGCCTTCGACTGCATCGCCTCCCCGACATCCTCCTCGTTGAGATCCTCCATCTGAATTTCCCCAAGTGGATCCCTCATCAGCATTGCGTGCACCTCGACTTTGCCCATCTCCCCACCCACCTGCAGGGGTAGAGTCTTTCTGTCCCCAGTCTTCTCCTCCACACCGTCCTCCCCAACCGCTCGTCTCCCCTCTTGTGGTTCCCTTCCAGCCCCCTGTTCCTTTATCCTCTTGACCTTCTCCCCACCCACTATCGCATTCCTCAAGGTCTCTCCAGTTTCCTCCTCCTCTGCGTTCCCCCCACTGTCGCTCTTCAGTCCTCCATCCTTTGCCCTGGTTTTTTGGAGGGGGATCGCCCCACCCTCCAGCTGCCTTCCCCTGGCTGCCCTCTGTGTTATCATCTGATAATCCGGGCTTCCTTACATTGCTACTCGGCATAAAAGAACCACAGGTGGACTGCGTAGAGCCGTCATCCCAGCCATCCCTTACTGTCGTAGAACCGGGGTTCAGGCTGGTTGTGGGACTGCTAGAGGCCTCATTAGACACTGAAGTGGTGTTAGATGGGTACCTCGAACTGCGACCAGCAGCAGAGTTCAGAGTTGCTGATGAGAATGGAGATGAGCATGAAGGGTTCCTCTCATTTCTTTTCACTACTCCCGTTGTGGTGTCCAGGTCCCAGGCCACATTCTGCCGGATCTGGGTCTGCCCCCAGCCTGTGTTTGACAAAACTCTGGGGTCCAGATCAGATCGATTGAGCATACCAAGTAAGGCCACTTCAGCCGTGGAGGACTGGTTGGAGCGATTATGTACAGAAGATGAGCCCTCCTGCTTATGTCCACTACCATCCGCCGTGTCACCGCTTCCAGCGATGGATCCACCACCACTTGAGGATGAGGTTCCTCTGCCTTCAGCGCCTCCACTCTGTCCTCCTCCTCCATCCCATTCCCCAACTGGCCCATCCCCACTTTCAGTCCCTTTCTGATTGTCCCAAGCTTTTGTCATTGTTGCAAACTTTGGTGAGGCAGAGTCCTCCAAGCCGCTGCCACCAACACTTAAACTGCTTGTACTGCTGCTGCACCTTTCTACGTTTCTTCCACTTCCTATTGCTAAATTACTCGAACTTGCACCTTCTGTAGTGCCACTCCAATTTGCTTCTGAACCGCTCCCTTCCCACACTCCCTGAGATGCCAAAGGGGCTGTAGATCCCCCGCCGTTTCCCCTGCCCCAGCCCGACTTGTCATCTTGACAGCCAAAGCCCCAAACATTCCCTTCCTGCCGCTGAGCTCCAGTCCCTCCACTATTCCACCCATCAGCCTGCGAGGCACCTACACCGAGTTCCGAGGACACCGGGGGCATGGCTCTCCAAGAAGAAGAGGCAGCTGAGGAGGAGGAAGAAGAGCCAGATGTATCGTCGCTCGCTTCCACTTCACTTGCAACTCCAGAGTTCCCCTCACTACCACCATCTTGATTTGGTCCTGGTTCTTTTGCTCCCCCGCTCAAACCCAGCTCTGGCCCTGGATTTCCCAAGTGCTGCTGTTCTCCGCTCGAGGCTCCCACAGCTGTGTCAGTGTGCTGCTGGTAGAGACCAGTTTGATTCACAGATGAAAGAGTGGTGATGAGGGTGGTGCTGGCAGAGAATGAGGAAGCTGAAGTAATGGATGGGTGTGGTGGGAAGCTGTCACTGGCTGAAGTGGAAGTCCCACTCTGCCCCAAGGCAGGCCAAGCAGAGGGGTTCACATTGGGGTTGAAATTGGCACCAGGGGCACTACTGCTGCCACCCACAGGGCTCTCCTGAGGGCCAGGAAGAAGATGGGAGACTTTGGAATTGTAAAATGCTGCTGATCCTAGCCCAGCATCCACCTCGGATAAGGTGGAAGAGACCCACGCACCACCACTTGACTGGGCACATTCATTAAGCAAGGAAGATGAGGAAAGAGGAGAAGAACGAGGTGGGGAAGGATTGTCCATATTCCCTGCTCCTCCTCCTCCCGTTCCACTCTTCTGCTGGATGTTTCTCTCACCCCATGAGGCACTACTGTTGTTGTTACTAGGGCAGTCTTGCTCCTGAATCCCTCCTCCAGCCCCATCAGAATTCAATTTGGACCCGCCCGTAATGGTGGGCCAGTCCTCCAGGTCAGTCCCATCCACAATCATCTTCCCGCAGCCCTGAGAAGAGGACTGGCTGCCAGAGCCTGCCCCCCATGTGGAATTTGCATAAGTTGAAGAAGTAGTAGAAGACGACAAAGCAGCAACACATAATGAGGATGAGTTGGGAGGTGACGGGGAGGACGAACCCAGGTTGCAATCTAAGGAAAAAGTTTTTCATGTTTATTTCATTTCATTTGAAGCTTTTTATCAAACAGGCAAATTACCCATAGCAAAAAAAAATAGTCAAACAAAAATGCTAATTGGCAGAGTGAAAATTCAAGTATATTTTGATTGTTTGTAAAGGAAACAGGTGCTTGATAACACAAATAAGTTCCTGGATATCAGCTAGTTTAGCACAGATGCCCAGTAGAAAACATATTAAAGTTGACCATGTGTGTTTATACTGAAACTTCCGCCCACCTGTGTTTGCATTGGCGTTATCTGCTCCCTGTGAGGACAGTGCAGCAACCCAGCCACTGCCTCCTCCTACGCCCCCTGCACCCCCATCCCCTCCTCCTCCTCCGCTTCCTCCCCCCAGCAGCATGGAGGACAGCGGCGGCTGGCCCCTCTTCAGTAGCACTTTATGGTCCTGCTGGCAGCGAAATCTTGGTGGGACCTCTCTTGACATGTATCGCTGCTGTTGGGGGGTTTGACTTCCAGATGGAGAGGTGGAGGGCTGTCCGTTGGCCACAGCAGTCCGCTGCTTTGCATTGTTCCCACCACCAGGAGGGACTTGGGCAGAGACCCCGCCTGCACCAGGACTTGGGGATGAGGGGGAAACAGGGCCAGGGCTAGGGGACACTGAGCCTGGGGTGGAGAGTGGCTGGGAACCGGAGGGCTTGGCTGATTCTGGCACTACAAAAACGAGTATAAATATTAAATAGCAGCATAAAATACATCATCACGCAGACTCTCATACACAGTAATAAATAATGAGGAAAGACTTTGACGACAAAAACAAAAGGGTACCTTTGATTTTCTGTTCTGGCACCTAAAAGACAAGAATCAGATATAAATAAGTTTAATTTGAGAATAGCTTCAGCAAGCAATAAGTCAGCTTGCTTTCAGGGTGATTTAAGGTCAGATATAGAATATATGACATCCCTTTTATACTTCCAAGTTAGAATGACATTTTCCACACAGTTCTAGATTCTAAAACTTGAGCTTACTCTAAATGCCAAAATATTTCAAGCTGCAAAGTAAAAAAAAACGTCTATACTAGTTGTTACTTTATTCTTATCTGAACAGAACACAGAGGAGCAATATCACAGATTCCCAGTAAAATATACAAACGAGTCAGAACACGATTTACCTTCTGAGAGGCTTCCCTTTTCTTTTTCTCTTCTTTCTTCTTTTTCTTGTCTTCCATGAACTACTGTTCCCCTTCTCGATTCTCCTGTCTGTGAAGAGAAATGTGCACTTTCAATTATTTATGTCACTTCAGTCAATGAAAGCCATTTACAGCTCTCAGAAGCATGACATTTTCAAACAAAAACATGTGGTCTGACACGCGTTGGTCAGACCACTTCAACACTGTCGATGTTGTAAAGACTGTAATGTTAACCTGGGGCAGACAGCTTGACAACAGAGCTTGGTAGCCTCACTTATCCCTGCATAATTCATTAACCAGCAAACCATTGTGATTCCAGCAGACAAGCAGCAGCCAAAAAATGTTAAACTTCAAACATTTGTCAGTTGTTGTTTTTTTTCTGCAGATGAAAAAGTTATGGCAGTGGGATTCACAGAATACTGGCTTTAATGTAAATAGCTGTTTAAGCCACCTGTCCAGTAATAGGAGTTTATTCATTTGTATTATTTGCATCCTCACAGCCACCCCTCTCCCAACAAGTTATAAGTTAACATATGCCAAAGCAAAAAAAAGACATTTGGCTGAGTTTTAGAAGATGTTCAAGGCTGATAAAAACAAGCGTAACCCCATTAGACTTTAAAGCACTCCTTAAAAGTTCAATCTTCTTTTCATTTTCAAATCCCGCTGCGTATACACATCACATTACCTTTTTGTATGTCTGCTTTTTGGTAGTTTAAAACTCAGTAAATATTTTGTGGCATCAAAAAAAGACGACGTTTGCAATTGACTCTACATCAAAAAACCTGCGAGACATAAACAAAAGAAAAAAAAATGTATGAACCTGCGAAGCTGACTTGTCCACCTGGCTTTCAAAGCCAACATATCCAAAAGCTAAGGCACCAGATTCCTGCACGTTTGACCACTAGGCCAGACTGTTAGCTAAGCTGCACACAATTAGCCCCGTGTTACACAGAGCCGCGGCAAGCTAACTGGATAAGTTAGGGGGTTTAACTCTTCACCGTGTAATGCACCAACTGGCATTTTATAATCAGTTTACGGTGTACAAAGGAAACGGTACACGGCAGATGTCGGCTTCTGCCGGGGCAATTAACAGAACCCTCGTTTTAAAAAACCAGGCCGTTGACTAACAGCTGTACCAATGCTAAGTTCCGATAGAGGGAAGACAGACTAGCATGGTCCCCCTTAGAGCAGCTGGTGACCACCGAGCTTTGACCCACAGACCCGGGGCTCGAGTCACCGAGCTGTCACGGAACAAGGTGCCTCCGTACACATCCTTGTTCAGACAACAGCAACCTCATTTTGACCAAAATTTGAAGCTCAAATTTTTTAAAAAGTGTCCTTCACTCAAGCATTTAAGTAAAAAGAAATTAAAGTACGTCTCAGCGGGAATAGAACCCCCATTAGTGGGTCAGTAAAGAGACGCCGGGGTGCCGATGCTAACGGTCGTCGGAGCTAAATGATACGACGAACTTGTATGACGTTTCTTTAGCATTTGGACGCCTAACAAGCGAAGCTATCCTAAAGCTGAAACCCGTGTGTTGCTTGCCGTGTGAAAAATGCGACACCAACACTATTACTAAGCACGAGTCCTGCGAAAAGTTTCCAATGCGCGTTGAGTTTTCGTTCAGTACTCACCTCGGGAATCACACAGGACATAAAGTGCTTCTGTGCAAAAATTCTTGCAGACCTACCGCTAGTAGGCTAGCAAGGTAGCTAACCTAGCAAGCTAGTTCTTCGAGGCTTTCAAGGCTAAATTGAATAAGAAATGACATCACGTAGAGGCGAAATGTTAATCGTAGAAAAAATGAAGAAAGGCGGATATCCTTTTTATGCCCGTCTGTAGTTTTCAAACTGTAAACAAAACATGCATAAACCCTTGATAACTGTCAGACGCTGTAGGATCGGTTAGTTTACTATCGGCCATTTTGCTTCTGTGTGGAGGTTCAGCCAGCATATTATATCACCAGGCTGGTTGTTGATCAGAGAGGGGAGGAGGAGCACGATGGTCGTCAATTCTGTCCACCAGAGGGCGCCCTAACTCACAGAATGAAAATACGTCATGCGCGCTGGCCACGATTTAGTTCAGAAATGCGCTGGTCAGCTCTGGAATGACATCATGAACCTTATGTTTATCATTTCCACACAAATTCTTCTCCTTCATCAACCTGATTTTCCTTCTTATTAAGTATTATATACACAAATGCAAGTTTAGTGATAACAGACCTTTATTTCCTGTCTTCATGAGATAATTGAATTGGTAGCGTCATCTCATTGCTTGATTCAATAATAAAAACGATTTGAAAACTGTGAATTTAGTTTCAAAATGTAATATCTTGCAACCTATTTTGTGTTTTTTCTTGTCACATTGTGCGTATACAATTACCCCTGGCATGCTTATTTTCTTTGTTTGTATTATGTCAATATTTTTTATAATTGTTAATAAAGATCAAAACAAAAACAAATGTTGACGTAAGTAAACAAATTTGATGGTCTTGGATAAAATGGCTATTTACTTAATGTCAGAAAAAGGTATTCTTCTAATGTATGTATAATGGTCATTATTGTTATCATTATAAGGCCCAAGATTTTAAAATGCTTTCAAATGGTTTATTTCACACTTGTATAAAATGGAAAATAAAGAATCAAAGAAAAATTGGATATTGATGGGATCTGTTGAAGCCTCACTGCTGTGTTTGGGAGATCCCATTCCTAATAGTCCAATTACCAGTGGCACTGACGTTGCCCTCACTTCCTGTAATTTTCCACTTCCTCTCCTTGCTATTTCTCTCTATTTCTAAGGTTCTGGTGTTGTTTGTTCTTCATATTATTCCATGTTTTATTCTCATTCACATGTTGACGTATCTCAGACTTTGACTTAATGGCTTCCCACACATAATCATTCCAGTTATATCCACATATTTTCCCACATTTTCCCGTGTATGCTGTTTCGGCCTGCATCTTGCATATACCATGCCTTTATGTTTATAGTTTGTTTGAACTCATTTATGAAGTCAAAGTCAATTAGATTTGTATAAATCTTTTTTTTTTTTTCAAAAAGTAGCAGAAACCAAAAATCACAGTTTGGCGTACATTGAAATTTACAAATGACTGACCTTCAGTCGAACAGACTTCCCCCTGAAAATCCCAAGAAATTCTCGGTTTCCTTAAAGTGTAAATAAGATAAACATCACAGTGGTTTTCAATTAAACCTGGTTCACATTGGGGTGTTTACAGAGCAGCCCATGGATACTCAGACAATAAGACATGCATAGTTGACATGCAACAGCCATCCTGACTTACAGCTATTATTCTCATTTGTGAATAAGACCCCCCCCCCCTTATTGTGACAATACTGTTACGTTCTAAAACCTCAATAGTAGTTACCCGTTTAAGGCAACACCATTTGACATAGGAATGTCTATGGCTAGATCTGAAAATGTACCTGTCTTTATGTAGTTCAATGCTTAAATCAGTTTGATTGATTACATTTCTGGTAGACAGGAGTTTTGAAATAAGAGTACCTTTAGTTATTCAAATAAAAAAGTTTCTACGAATAAATACAAGCCTGATATGGCCTAAGTTATATTTTTTAGGTTTATTTATGTACAGTAACCCCCGTGGAGGCCTCTCTGTGGCTTAGTATTTTCTAACAGCTCCCTAGACCCTAGAACTGGGTTTGTGCTAATGAGTTGATAGGGTTTTACACGTTCCCCTTCTATTGCAGTCTGTCCAGCTCGACCCAGGCCACTGCCCGCTGCTGGCTGTGGATGGCATTGCACAGAGCCTCCAGCAGCTCCTCGGTGCAGCTCCAGGTGTTGGGTTCCAGGGTGTGGTAAAGCAGGGGCAGGGTCTCCAGCTGCAGCTCCTCTGCCTGGCACACCTCCTCCATTACACCGTCCTCCCCACACCGTGGGAAAAACTTCCTGTTTCAAGGGTTAGAATACAAACAGATCAGATTCCAAATCGAGACTTTGCAGCTTTTATCCAGTTTTATTTGGAATAGAAGCGTTACACTGGTTTTATTTGGAAAGCAAATGATAGTCCACCTACCTCAGCTTCTTACGCTTTTTATTTTTAGGGCGAATATAGATGACAATGGGATAAATCCCCTGTCTCAGTAAACCCTCAACACTGGGCAGCCCCAGTTCCAGCAGACAGTGCCTGTCCTGAGCCAGAGATAAAGAGAAAGGACACAGTGAAGTCTTACAACCTCTGCCTCGGAGAGTTGTCCATGTCTTTTTCATCTGAAAGCAGAGAGAATTTTTTTGTAAAAACAAAACAGGCCAAACTATTGTTTTTACCTGGCCGATAACATCCTGTATAGACTGCAGCCTTATGCCCAGAGTCTGGGCCGGGCTAGATGAATCCAAAAGGAATATGCTCTTGTCCTTTCTCTCTGACACTTGAATGGGCTCTGGGAATAGAAAACAGAGGAAAGGAGGATGATGCGCTGTCTCATGTGATAGTCACCTCCTGAACCACCAACGTTAAGTGTAACCATTTTTGTGTGCGCAAGGGATGTGTGTCAGTAGACGGCTGTGCTCACCTGGAGGGCAGGTGTTAAACTTCAAGCCAGACTCCGCTGGCTGCAGCAGCCTCTCTATCAGACCCCGGGAGAGAAGAGACGGGGAGAAAATGACAGGACGCCTGGTCTGTATCCTGACTGGCTGCACCAAGCTGTACGGGATTAAATGCTCTTCATGGCCTGCAAGGAGAAGGGAAGGGAAGGCCATGCGTGAAAGGGGCATAAATGCAATAAATTAAACGATTCATGAGAGAATGTTGTCGCAGTGGCGTAAAGTTTGGCTGAAACTTACGTTTGCTGAGTGAGTAAAGCACTTGTTGAGTAGAGCCCACCCCTCGGCAGCTGGGATTCACTGCCTTGACCAATCGAACGCGGCCTGCTGTTTTCCTGTTAAACTATCCACAAACAATTCACGTTTAATGTGCACTATATTAACCCAGTTAGGTACCAAAACAAATCTCAAGCCTCCTGTTTGCGCAGACTTACCACCTTCTTCTTTAGGTCCTTTTCCTGCAGCACCATTTTCCGTAACCTTACGAGTAGCAACTGCTGTGCCCTGGGAGAGGAAGTGTGTAATCCAGGTCCATTACACTCAGATGTGCTACTTTGGTTTAGTTTTAAATGCCACTACATTCCATACTTTATGATCTGATTTATACTAGATAATGTGTACCTGTTGTAGTTGGGCATGGTCCCTGTCTGAAGGGGCTTGGCCGTGATCGGGTCCACCAGGGAACAGTGCCACTGGTATTTCCCGTTGTACCTTGTGTCTGTGACGTGTATGATGTCGTCACAGGAGACGCCCAGGCACGGCGGCTCGCCATGCGGCTCAATGTTGAGATTAACGCGCACGTAGAAGGAGTCAGCCCCCGTGAAAGCGGGCGAGGCCAGCTCCGAGCACAGCTTGGAATAAGCTGAGGCAGAGTGGGACAGGTTAGCCTCAACTTTCTGAATGAATGAATAGACTTTGGCTTGGGCAGGCGCGTCTCCAAACCTCCCGACTCACCCTCTTCATTGCTTTGGTGTTTGAGTGTTGAGAGTTCTGTCCACCACTGAAGAGAGAAGTGGGCCACCTCAGCCGTGCACTGACCCAGCAGCACGCTCCCCCCACCAAACAGAACCCGCTCCAGCTAAACAGCACACACACAATCCAGCCTATTAATTCACATCCTGATGTTTCTAAGCATGAGAAAACATACTTTACTCAGAAATCATTCATGATTCATTTTTCCAGAAAGGCACACACCTCCAGCAGCTCACTGCCCTCTTTCAGCCCGCACTGCTCCGCTGGAGAGCCCGCTTTCACATGGCTGACAAAGATCCCTGTTCGATTTCCCCCAACTATTGTGATACTGTCTGCCAGGCTGGTTCTTTGAAGCTTTGATGAGATGGGGGGACTCGAAGAGGGGGAGTTAAGAGAGGTGGGATTCCTAACAGATGACAAGGACAGGCAGAAATACAAGAGAATTGAAAAAACATCAGCCAGTGTTTCTATTGATTTCTTTACAATCAGAAAGTTCACTTTCTTGTGCTCATATCATATTGCAGCTGATCAGAATACTTGCATTCTATGCAGTTATATCCACTGAAAAGAAATTTAGTTGTATGAAATGAAACCTTAAGCATTTAGATGTTCTGAACAGCTCTTTCTAATTTAGGTTTTTCAGCTGCATTATCATTCTCAAAAAAGAAAAAAAGAGCCCAATGACAGCAAAGTCGCAGAATGTTATTATCCACGTAAATGGTCAGACAAGAAGGGGTTCTGAAAATCTGTCAGTGTCCGTCTCAGTGGACAAGCGGCACCATCTGTAGGTACACTGAACCTCGGACAAATCGAGGCAAAACCAAAGTCAGACTTTTTAAAAAAGATAATCACATTGTTGAAAAGTTTATTTAATAATGAATTTTTTTTCTTTCATTCAATTTATTTTCAGAAATAATAAACAACGCAATAATAACAAAAACATGTTGAAATTGGCATTCCTTGGATTTTCTTTTTTTTTAAAAATAATGTATTGATAACTGACTAAAACTTTATTAAAAAATCTCATTATTTCAATGAAAATTGATGTGTCAAAGATAGCATTTTGCTAAGTCAAAGGATAATTATGTTAATCACTCGTCCATTCTTATACTTTAGTCTGGTAAAATGTATGCGTACCGGTCAGATAATAAATGTGCAATGTTGGATATGCTTATGCCCCAGCTTATCTTCTCCCATGTTATCAGTTATTACGCTGAAAGATGCTGTATAGGTCAGTGGTACCTGGAAACACCGGGTTTGGGTGCATGTGAAGAAACCGTGGCCATGTTGACCAAGTCGGGGGGGAAGAGATGAGAGTGTAGGGAGGTCCAGGAATCCCAGAGAGAGGGTTCACCCTGCTCCCCTGAAAACACCAGGAAGTGTTCTGATTTGCACTTACAACGAGATCCATGAGCAAAAAGAGAAATAAATGCATTTTTAAAAAAAAGGAACAATCATTTTGGGATGTTGTGTGAAATATACCTGAAATGTTATCATTTTCATCGCTACCCCACGACTCCATGTCAAACCTTTATGGAGAAAAAACAGAATGATACCAATCAACTATAAATAAGTGCCATTTAGGTAACACCATATTTATTACTCACTCTGTGTTAAAACGTCGGTTGATTGAGTTCATACAGGGAGGGAAGGGGAAAGTGGAGAGCCGATTTATTTCCTTTTCATCGTCTTTTGTCTGAAGGGACAGAGTTTAACACTGAGATGCTTATGAATTCGAACCCCAGTTAAATTTCGAAAGCCTTAAAACTCACTGAGAACAGGAGATTCTCCTCTGAGTTGGAACATGAACCTGTGAATGAACGAAACAGTTCTTAACTATTTAATGTACACATAAGATTGAACGCAAATTCCATTTTACCATCGTAAAAAAAAAAAAAAAACATTGGGACAACTCACTCTCTAAATTGCCATTGGTTGGACCTCTGGGGGGAGTCTGGAGCACAGGAAATGTGGGTTTACATTCTGACCTCAGCTAGCGACACAGCTTGAACATGTCTAAACACGCCAATGTTTGCATGAGAATCCCAACAAAAATAACGTTCTGGCTTAGCTGAGGAAATTTTAGGTTCAGACCGCAAAACTTCCTTACATAACACAACAAGAGCAGGAGAAAACCTGTTTGTGCAGGCCATGAGAGCTTCAACTCACTGGGATGAAGTCACTTACGGCATGCCAGGAAATACACTACAATCACACAGACTAAAACAAACGCACAAACATGAATAAGACTATGACGACTAAGACGATAAAACACCTTTCTCTGCACCAGATGGGAGGTGCTGGGCTGGGGGCTCAGATCCAGGTCAAGAGAGCAGCAGGGTCCGAAGCACTGGTCCTCACTCCACAGAGACAGGTGGGACTGGGGCACAATCACGCAGGGATTAGCGGATGTTTAAAGAGCCCCCGTGCGGGCGGTGAGAGGACGTTCGCTTACGCAGTGCAAACAGGGGCTCTGTTGCTCCCGACACTTCTCCTGCTCTTTCTCCAGCTCCCTCTCCTGCTGCTCCAGGCTGGCCTGCAGCTCCACAATGCGTTTGCGCAGGCGGTTCTTGTCCAGCAGGCACTCGGTGTACTCCAACTGCAGACTGTCTCGGCTGCGTAGGGCCTAGGGAAACGGCGACAGGAACTAAACAGAGCAGCACATACATAGGGAAGGCCTCAGATAGCTTTGGGCTGGTTTGGAACTTTGTTGGAAACTATGATGCCTTAAAAAAACATATATGTTTTTTCCTATTGTGTTGCATCACACCTGTCATTTGAACAGACAGGTTTTGAGATTCTATGTGATGAACCAAATGTACCCAATTCAATGAATGGAGTTAAAACTAATGAATAAGTTCACACCTTAGATTAAAAGAAAAATCCAAAGTTATGATTTTGTGCTGTCCGTGATCTTGAGAAATAACATAATTAGTACACGGAAGTCTACCTGTGATGAATCACGTTTCTAGAGAAGTACCGATAAAGGAGTGGTTTAGGAAAAATGTTTAAAGCTTTGTATTCCCTCCGTTGCACGAAAAAGTCAAGGATTAGAACTTCAGAATGGACAACGATGTAAAAGTTATAATAAAGAGGATGAAAACTTCATGGGAACATGGCCATTGCTCAGTAAAAAAAAGGGGAAAAATGTAGTCTGAAAGATTCCCAAACCAGGAAGAAAACGGAACTCTAAAACCAACCCTTTAGGACATTGAGGACAATGGGCATTCCTGATCCATCACACCAGACTGCTTTAACTCCGCCACTTGTTCAAACTGACCTGGTCTCTCTCCTTTTCCAGTTCAATGATTTGGTTCAAATAGGACACGGTTCTCTTCTGCTCTGTGTCCCAGTCCAGCTGGAGAGTTCTGACTTTTAGCTGGAGCTGTTCACACTGTGTCTCCAACTGCAAACACACACACACACACAGTTCCTGATGACACATACAAAAAGCAGAACAGCCCTGTTCACAAGTAATAAATGGCACAATCATTACATAAAATCATTGCTTAAGCAACAATTGAACCCCTATAATCTATTGATTGTGGCCATGTGGCAAGACAGCGTTTCACCTTGTCCCTGAGCTCCTCGGCGCTCTGCAGCTCCCTTTGCAGTCTGGTGATGACGTCGCACAGTTCTCGCCTTTGCTCCGCAGCCTCTCTGCGGTCCTGTTGCAGGATATCCATCAGAGCCTGTGACCAGCACAAACAAATATTCATAAAAACCCAAGCAAAGCAGCTGTTTTCAAATAATGCAGTGCGTATCATCTCAACCGTACAATGACCCCATTGGAGGGGACGTGGTTCCTGGCTTCAGTTCCTGTGGTGTCCGTACTCTGGGCGTCCATGCGGCGCAGCGGCTTCTCGGGTAAAGCCGGTGGAGAGCCGTCGGTTCCATTGCAGACGGAGCCGCCCTTTTTAGCAATGCCAGGCATATCTGCTGTTTGTTTCTCTGCTGCTGTCAGCCTCGATTTCAGCTCTTCCACCTGCGAAAGGACGTGGCAAGAGTAAATGGCCGGAAAACTCTCTTTCCCACGCGACATTCTTCGGGCTGTAATGTTAGGTAACCTGTTATAACTAACGGCCTGCTTCCAGAATAAGTCTTCACAGCGAGGGAGATTATAAGTTTGATATGTCCTGGCGGTGCGTCTGGCAGGCTCAGACAGCACCCAGACTAAAGAAATGTGGCTGATAACATCGGCACAGGTGCCCTGAAGTGCTTTGTTTTATGCTCCGGTTGCGCCCTCATCCCCAGAAGAGCACATTCTTTTTCAACTGCCCCGAGCACAAATATTTGACAACTCTTTATATCATGCAAGCAAAGCATCAGTTATCGTTCTGCGTCTGCATCTTCCATTCCCACAGTGCTCCTTCCCCACCTACCTGCCTCAGCAGTTCCCTCTCACGGGTGGTCGCTTTGCCTTGCTCCTCCAAGGCCCTGGAGTATTTGACGGCCTGCTCCAGGTGTCTGTCCTTCATCTTTCCAAGCTCACGACTGGCCGACTCCCACTCCTGACGCAGCCTTGAGATCATGAATCCCCCCCAAGTGCATAATTCCTTACTATTTCATACAAGCTGGATTGGCGCAACAACAAGTCTGAAGTAGCGTACGCGTGGAATAAGTGTGGTTGTAGTTTTAAATCTGCAGGGTAATGTTTACAGACGTCTTTCATTCATAGTTATCTGAGACAGTCTCTACGCAATGCAAACGGACACTGAGCTGCCGGCTGAAGTGGTTCAAACCTCTCGAGCTGCATTCTGTCTCGCAGTAGCTCCTGAGCCTTGCGTTCAGCTCTGCCGCGCTCCTCCTCCGCCATCCGACAGCGCTGAGACAGGCGGCGCTCGCACAGGCGGCTGTTTCGAAGCTGATCCCTCATTTTCCGCACCTCCAGCAGCAGGAACTGAGTCAAGCCCTCTGGACCTTCCTCATCTGCAAAAGACAGACGATCACATGTTGTTACCGTGACACACGCAGTGGAACTCAGTCTCGAAATGAGTAGCTTGTTGTATGCGTGAGAGAAAAACAAAAGAAGAGGAAGAAAAAAAATGTGCACAATTAGATGATGTGTAAAAAGGTTTCCTCTTTGAATACATGTACATCATCCTAGGAATGATAATAGCTTCACAGAGAGCTCTGAGCTCAGATTTTTGGTACAAACTATCCATATAACATGTAAAGCAAATCCAACCTAACTTTCTGACTAAAAAGGATCAATATTTTAGTTGGTAGTACTAATATAATACAACTAATCATAAGTTGTACTCAATAATCTTTGCAATTCTTAAATGAGAATAGAACAAATCATACTTTGGGGGGATCAAGATGATGAATTGATGAAAAATCAATAAGCCAGGAGCATTTCATCATGGTGATTAAAACATGAGATGAAAAGCAGTTTAAGAAGAGAGAAATACACGGACATTGTGTTGGTTTTTAAAAACAATCATTAATCATAACATGTAACGTCAGACTTTTTTGCCCCATTTTTTAAAATGCCGACGTAAAGAAACCACTGCTTGCCCAGTATGAGGGAGCATCGCTGCGTGGGCTGCTCTCCGGTCAGCTGTGTGTACTGTTCGGGATGGTAAAACTCCAGCGACTCCATGAAGGCTTGAAGACCTCGCTGGCCCTGACTACGGAGAATGTCCAGCAAGCGGCCTGTCCGACAAAGAGACGAAAACGTCAGTACAAAATATCCCAAATTTTTCATGCCCGTCTCCCATCACTGTAAATTTCCATAGCTGGATCCGTCTGACCACAAACATGCCACTTCCTTGATGTCATCACAGTCTATTAGCATGACTATGATGGATGACTGATATGTACATGACTTAACTCACCCATGGAGAATCAGTATTGGCTCTGTGTTTGGTCAGATTAAGGATTTTTCTTTTGCAACATCGGCCATTCATCTGTCTCTTGCTTATCCCCTCATTCTCCCCTCCTTCCTCGGTTTTATTACTTACATAGCCCCAAATCACCAGCCCTGTTTGACAGCTGGTATGTGGTGTTCGTGCTGATATGCTGTGCAACACCCAACATCTCTACTTTGGTGTTATCGCTCCAAAAGATTCTTGTGGTTTGCTCAGATTTAAATGAGCCTAATAGCTAATCTACATCTGCTGTCATGTCCTGCTGAGAGAGAACCAGGCCAAATCTTTTTTTTTATATCATCCTGGAATGTTACTATTTATATGCTATCTCCTCTGAGGACTGGCAACTCAGTTTATGTTCGAAACACAAATAAACTTTCTCACTGTTGAATGGTGGACTCAGATCGTTTGGAAATAGCTATATAAACCCAGATTAAAGGACAGATCATTTTTAGATTATGACGCAAATAACATCAAAATTCAAACAAACAAATGTCTTATTTCCATAATCTTGAAAAAGATTTGGGGCTGACTATTTGTGAGCCTCCGATATTAAGTCACAAGTAATTTAATCGTGTTGATTTTGACTGAACTGTCCCACTCAACAGGCCTGAGAAGCTATTCTTTTTAATCATCTTCCAATATTGATTTTGATTTAATAAAACATAAAAATGAAAACAAACCCAAGAAAATTCAATCTAATACAAATTTGATTGTTGTTTTTCACTTTCTTGCTCAGAAAACCATGTGTTGACCAGCGCATATTTATCTTACTAATGCGGACCATTTATGTGATGGGGAAAATGAATTAACCCCGCTGAGCAAACTCTCACCGGCCTTGCTGATGCGCAGAGGGTACTGCGTGGAGTTCAGCACCTCGTCCTCGTCCTGCTCATCCATGACTTTGCACTGGCGCAGGTACGGCGTGAGCTTGGCCGGGTTGAGGATGCGGGTGAGCTTGTGGCGCACCCCCTCCACGCGCTCCCAAAGCTCCTCGCAGCGCTCCTCTGACCACTGGGGAGAAGAGCGCGCCTCCTCCTCCTCCTCAGCTTCATCACCCCCCTCCCAAACTGTGACACCTGGGGAGGGAGACTCAGAAATGTACATTTCTAGACGTTTTGGAGAAGGATTTATGCTCGGCGTAAATTATTTAAAAAAACATTGCACACTGTGTAAGAACATGTATACACTTTTCTTTTGATGTACTTTTAATTGATTATCAGAAATGTAATAAAGATATTTTTCTTACTGACAAATGGCCAGTCATAGACTATACTTTTCTACTTCTTTTGTCCTTTATATATCTCTGCTAACATCAACAGAAGATAAAAATGTATTGTCTCCGTTTTTTAAACCAATGACTCTTTATGAGATATTTAAAGAAACATTTTAGCTAATTGAAACCGGAAACATGGCAATTTTCTGTCTTTAACGGTATCTAAGAATATTTCTAATAGGATTATTAGCTCTGCTGCATGGTGAGGTAATGAGACGGGACTCTAATCTATAAATCTTCCAAGGAATTCTCTCGAGGTGCCACTACTCACAAAAGACTAAACAAAACTGGCATCTAAAAGTGTTTATGTATAGTCATATTATGTGGCTCTAACACTACAAATAGCAGCAACATTTTTCCGAGTTTTTCAACATTTTTATTTATTCACTTTGTTAAATTAAAAGTAGCAACAGCTTCAGGATCATAGGTCAAAACATGGTGGACAGCAGGGTCCACTTGTGTGGAAGGACTCTGTGTGGGTGTTTGTCTCAGAGGGTAGGAATGAAAACACTTCCATGATTCACACAGCACACCTAAAAACACGCCGGGGGACCATAAACAAAGCTTCCAGGCCTATTTCAGAATGCAGCACGAGAAAGAAAAGGAAAATGGAGCTCCACACATCCGCAACCCAAATTATTGTCATTTGTTTTCACCGTTGTGAATCAAATAAAGCTTATAATGAACTTATGCCTTTGGCCCCCACAGTTTTGTTACTGTAAGAGACGCAGTAGATGAAAAATGTTTGATTGAAAAACAACTTTCACGTGAAATCACTTTTGATTGTTTAACCCTCGCAGGTCTCTGTTGTTTAGCGACTCCTCAGCAATGTGAGTGAATGCCAGCAGCAGGTCGAGGCCTGTTCGGATGCTCTGGAATCTCCATCATTACCCAAAAACAGTCTATTGAGACGTTGTTCTCACGTCATTATTACATACTATGTGGTTAAAGAAAACATTCCCATAAAAAGGAGCGTAGTCCTGGACTCAAATCCCAAAACCTTAGCAATTCATCATTCTGAGCTCTGCACTGACCATCCTTTTGAAAATTAAATCATGTCAGAGAACTGAGCCGTTACAATGAAATCATAAAAAGGGGAAAAAAAGCATCATTACATTACTTTCCAAGATTCTTCCACTTGACTTTATGAAACTCATCTGTGCGTTGATTTGTTTTGTTGAACAGATATGGAAATCTTTATCTAAACAAATGTCAAAATGTGTGCACTCCAGTTCAAATCGAAGTTAACATAGAAAAAGGCTGACATGCATTCATCAGTTCTTAAAATAATGTTGTGAGGTTTTACCTCTCGCTGGCTGCACTTTATTTTTAGCAACGTACATTCTATGGGGTAAACCTGCGCGCGTCTGAGGACAAATATAACTAATATTGTGTGGTTGATTATCACGTGAACTATGGCTTTTAGTACAAAAGCAGTCGGATTCTGGACTTGTAAAACGAGTTACTCATTACATGTCGCGCAGGTTAAAGAGCGATCTTGCTGCCTTTTAACAACCAGCTGATTACTGATTGAAAAAAAAAACGATGGAAGACAATGATTTTCCGATGACATCTTTTAAAAGCCTACAGCCTAAAGGAATGAGTACTGCGCTACACCGAAAGGGCAAAACCTTAGATGTTGACTTACCACTCATATCTAGCTGCGGTAAAAATGAGACCAAGGGAAGAGCGATTCCATCAAGTTCTTGACATCACACCACACCAGCACACAAATACAGGTCACGAGTGAAACCGAGGAGGGAAGTCAGACTGTGTGGGCGCGCGTTCACTAGAAAGCAGCCGAGCGCACACTCCCCAGGTCCCTCCTTTTACGCACGCACAGTTTTGCGCTCTGATGGTACGCCTTCCCGCTTCAACCTGCCAATCTGTAGCCCACAGGTGTGTGTGTGTGTGTGTGGGGGGGGGGGGGGGATATTCTCACAGGGTCGTCAGCATTTTCCAGTTTCAGCTCTTTGGAGGGATTTGACTGAAAGCAAACATCTGCTGTGGGGAGTGATCCATCAGTAGATGGCGCTTTGAACCAACGCTTGCCTTCACATAAGCATGTGTTTTGAAACTTCCCATTGATAATGTTGGAAAATGTGTTTTGAATTTTGCAACAGTATTCCCACTCCTTCACTTAGGTATCACAGCTCTGAATAACAGTGAAACCTATTTTATAAATGAAATATCTGGACCACAGCAGTGACTCATCAGCGTCATGACTGCACCTACAGGTGTTCCTCAACAACGAAGTGCAGAAAATGAGGCATTGGTATCCTCTGTATGACTGTACCTTTAAGGAATAGATTAGTAACACCATCTTCCTTTAAATCCGGACATGGTGTGTTACATCACAACACAATGAAACGGCTTCAGTCGGGCGGAAGTCTCATGCGGTCAACGGTTTCGAATTTGACTGAATGACTGTAATAAATGAATATGAGTTTCGGAGTCATTCCAGGAAGTGACAGACAGCTAGAAACAAATACAGAGAAGTAAATAAAAATGCAATGCGATCCTTCCTCATAACAATACAACTTAATAGACTCCTATATCTGTATGATTAAAAGCCATGCAGATTGATAGATGATTTTAAAACCTTTCTTTGATATCCATCTGTAGATGCACATTTTGAAAGAGAATCACAGAATATGAACATATACAGGTAATCTAGGAGTTATTCTTTTCAGCCAGTGGGTATATCCACCCAGTTTGGTACTGTTGACTGGGTTGACGTATGTCACAGCTTTCAGTATGAAAACACACAGGAAGTATGCAGAGGAAGTTGGTGGAATTTAATCCTTGTTGTTGGCCTGGGTACAGGAAATGTAAGACTCATCCATCTCTTGGCCTACCTTGAATATACACTGCGGAGGGCCCGTGAGTATTATTGTAGACAGAGAATGTAAAAGAAGCACTTCTTCCAACACAATACAGAAAAGAGGAAGTTGTGCTGAGCTCAAGTTTCTGCCTCTTCAAGCAGATTTGCATCGGGGCACTCTGAATGGGTTGAGTACACACATCTCAGACTCTCACTGAAGAGCATCTCTTTGGATTTGCAACACCTTAATTGTCAAAACTTGTCAAGTGCCAAGTTTGTTTGGAGAGGAAGGTATTTCTTTTAGAAGTTTTTGACTGAAATGAAAGAGGATTTGAAATGAGAGACAGTGTGGCTCATCATATCATGTTTAATTTTTTATATGACTGTTTTATGATATTTAATCATGTGCTGCATTGTCATTTTTATGTACATTTTCATTGTACAGGGCGCTGGAAAATGATTAATAAAGTGTATTGATTGATTATCTTAGCTTGTCTGACTTCTCTGTCCTTTGTTAAAGACTCACAAAGTCATGTCCATCTGTTCCTGTTTGTGCTGCCCTCTGCATGCCGTTCTCTACAGCTTTCTGCTATTGTTTTTGTTTTTTGTCCCCTCTCTTTGCCTCACTGTCTGTCGTTAGCCTTCCTTTGCAGACAAAAAAAACCCTCCCCCCAAAGGGGTCTGGGAAGAGGGGGGGGGGGGGGGGGCAGTAGATGAGCATTCCTATTTCTGTCTCTGAGGTGACGGCGACACAGCGGAGCCATTGATGAGGGCACTGGACCCCACAGTTTGCCCATGCCGGCATGTCTGACACTGGAACGGCTCCTTCAGAGGTAAATAGACTGAATTCCTCAAGTTCCCCATGCAATTAAACTTATTTGTTTGGTAACACAGATTTTTTTTTTGTCAGACAGCAGGACTGCGGCTGTATCCCATCAACACCAAGAAAAATAGCCATGCAAATCTTGGTTATAGTTACCAGTGACTGCTAGAGTCAGATGAAAGCGTCCGTTTCTTTTATTTCTTACTTCATTCTATTCCCGCTCACAACACAACAGGCCCCGCTCTTCACCCAGCAGTTGACCCCCCCCCATGGATGGTTCCATCTATGACTCAAGCCTGGCGGCTACACAGAATTACCCCTTTGTGCTCACAAAGAATGTGTCTTTTCTCGCTTTTTTTTTCTTTTCTGGAAAACAGAGGCAGAGAAACAGTGTGGTGGGGGTATTAGTAACTAAGAGATTCTAAGAGTCTGATGACAAGTGATTTATGCTCCCTTTGTATGCAGGATGTTGGGACAGTAGCTTTCACTCCTGTTTCAGGCTGTCATTAAAAGTTGCCAGTGAATAAATCAGAACAAAGTAGTGATTATAAATGATTCATGCGCTTGGCACAACTGGAATGCATGTGTAAAGCTCCCAACCTATAAAAAAGAGAGATATATTTTAACAAAGTACTGTGCTGTCACACGACACTTGTGGCCCATGCAGTTAGTTCTGGGTGTCCTCTCATCATGAACACCAGTAAAGCCGAATAAGACATTGTAAATATAACTAATAATAGCAAGTAATTTCCTGTTTAACATGGACTCAACATCAGAAACACCACAAAGATGTTGGAAGGAATTATTGTTGATGCAAAGTTGCAGCCAAGAACTGTTTATTTACCACTAAAGGAACATAATCTTAAGGATCATTTTTATAACCTTCTATGTGGAAATTTGTTTTTGCCCACACAGGAAGAGTTTGCTTTCGGTCAATGTTTCATGGTCAAAATTGATTCTATGCTAAGGAAAGATGCTCTCCAAAGTGAATCAATCTAAAGATTAAACATTCTTTTAACAACTCTAAACAGCATATGAGACTTTGGAATGAAGCTACTGACAATAGACACCATAAAAGAGCTTGAAAGGTCAAGTGATGTATGCATAAAGGTTCTGGAAACACTTTTTAAACTATGTTCAAAGCCCTATGTTAAAAGCAGTTGCGTGTGAAATATCCAGAGAGCTGTGAGTTTATAGCCATGTGTTTGCAGTTGTATTTTACATCAGGCCTTGTTATTTAGACATAGCAGCTGGTTGCAAAAATGGAGGACCAAAATTACCTTCAGGGACATCCATCGGAGAGTGCAGTGGCGGTCTTCTTTTCTCCTGAGCAGTTGTCAACAAGTATTTTTTCAATGGAGAATTTAGCACAGTAAATTTGCATTTGCATGTGTCTTTGGTACCATATGAGTCTGTGACACCTTAAGGGAAACTTTGGTCTGAGAGATAGACAGTGCCAATAAGTCCACAGAGAAATATCCAGAACACATGGTGAGACATTTCATGGAGAAAACATAGCCTTGCCGGATGACTGGGATGCAAGAAGAATGAAGTTGAGTATCTATTGAAAATGAAAAGCACCAACTGTGGCACATGCATTTTGTGGGAGCATAACCACCAACGCAGTGGATATGTGGGATTCAGTAAAACTTAAACAAGGTGAGCAACAACTGCAGAAAGCTATGTCGATAAACCCTACAGCTTTAAAACAAGGGAACAATGCAGAATGGGAGTAAAGCAGAAGCATTTCACCTCAAAATCAAGATAAAGTGAACAGAGGCAGATGATAGATATTGGCAGTCCAAGCGGCATGCAGCCTGGGTGGTTGCAGAGGCAAAAACTCGGGTATGTGAGGAGTTCGGGAGGCCATGGGAAAAGACGTATGTACGGCTTCATGTACGCTGCTCTACCAACATTGTCTACAGTGGGGATGGTGTGCTGTTGACCTGAACTCGTGACGTTGTGGGTCGGTGGGTGGTTACTTCGAAGACTTTCTCAATCCCACTGGTATGTCTTCTATTGGAGGGGCAGAGTCTGGGGTTCTGGAGTCAGGCTCTCCAATCTCTGGGGCTGAAGTCACCGAGGTGCCTAAAAAGCTCTGCGGTGGCAAGGCTCCGGGGGTGGATGAGATTCGGACGGAGTTCCTCAGGGCTCTGGTTGTGGTAGGGTTGCGCCAGCACGTGGACATCAGGGGCAGCCCCCCTGGAAAGCTCTGTTCAGGCGAGGAGGGTCCATTGGATAGTCCAACCACCGATTCAGGAAGAGCAATGTGGTTTCCGTTGTGGCAAGGGAATGCTTGACCAGCTCTATACCCTCAGCAGGGTCCTGGAGGGTGCATGGGAGTTCACCCAACTTGTCTACATGTGTTTTAAGGGCCTGGACCATGTGTCTACATGGTTAAATGTAGAGCCCTTAAAGCCCTTATAATAGAATTTGCTATGGAAGTTTTATTATAGATAGGTAAGAGTCATGCACAAGCTCTTCCTAACAAATGGACACAACAGAAACCAAAGGATAAATATAAATGTACATTTGCAAGGAAGGGTAATCTAGTGCTGACATGAAAGTGTCCCACAATAGTCTCCCAATGAAGGCAACTTTTCCCACCACTGGTGTTTTTTCGGGGTTTGCCGTCAGTTATCTCCGACTGGCTCGTTTTGCCACCTCAGGTCTGTATTTTTCACATTTGGATACGTCAACACAGACAAGCATCCACACGCAAGCATAATTCTGTGCGGTGGCGGGGAGGATCGTTCCCCTCCGTGCACCTCTTCCTTTCACTCTCCCTCCACAGCAGTGAGGTTTTAGTTGACGTTTGAATTACAGGGTGTAGCGCACCCATTTAAATCTCAGTGCCACCGCACATTTAAACTGCTTTACCAGCCACTGCATATCAATTCCCAAAAACTCTGTGTTAAAAATGCTTCTCTGTTAACTACACGCTAAAAGTTGCCAGAAAACAACAACAGAGTTCCATGCTGTAAAAACGCAGTCATGATAAGCAAACC